CCGGGCCCGAGGTGCCTCCAGCGCGCAAAGTACTCCGCGGGGCTGAAGCCCGAGGCTGAAGTCCGAGGCTGAAGCCCGAGGCTGGCGCCCTCGGGGGTTGACGTCACCCAGTGTCGTGGGTTTGATGCTCGGTGTGATGTCCGGCCCGGCGCGGTCGCTGCTTTCGAAAGATGATGGGTTCACGGGGTCATGCCATGCCCACCATCGCCTCATCTTATTGTCAGGCGCGCCACGCGCCGCCACCGCGCCGCGCCGGCCAGTGCAGTGCAGTGTGGCTGATGGGCATTTCCTCGCGAGCGCGCTCAAAGTCATAGATGATGACTTTCTGCTGCCTCGACCGCTGCTCAGCTGGAGCGTGCGGAGGCCTAGCCTACACTAGAGGAGCTCGGCCCGGACTCGGTCGGCGGGCAAGGTCAGGTCGACCTGGCCGCGCCGGGCCTGACGGCACGGCGGCAACATGAATGGGCCTGGACCGTCCGAATCAAATAGTGACAGATAATTGTCGGCATCTGACGGCGGCATGACTCGCCGTCACGGGAGGGGCTCGAAATTAATGGCAGTCGAAGTAGTTTTTAAGGTGTACGACATTCAGACACTGACAGTCATTGCGGAAAATATACAAGACTTATTAAACCGCGTCACACAACACAAGGAAGTTTGCGCGACGAAAATCGCAACACAGCGTCAGGCGCTATTGTGCACCCGGTGTAATGAGCTCCAGGCTTTCAGTGTTGTGGGGCTGCATCCTCGATAGGGTCGTGGGGCTGCATCCTCGATAGGGTCGCAAAGCAAAGGGCAAGACACCTTTCGGGTGAAGGGAGTAGGCAAGCCCGCAACACTGGGGTGCATTCGCCCGGTACGTGAGTCGCTTTAGTTTCAGTCCCAAAACTCGTGGTAAATGCAGCAAGTATCAACATGAAACAAAGAAACAATTTCCGCCATATAGGGGTCAAGGAAGTAAATTACATTTTAATGTGGATTTATCGGCGCAGCGGGAGAGGGCGGGGAGGGGGGGGGGGCATCTTCAGGAGCAGAAGACTACCCCCCCACCCCACACCTCAATCAGCCCTTACAATAATAGTGCGTTTTAGAAGTTTTCAGGGTGGGCAATTTTGTGCTCTTGCTCTCTTATCATGTCACAACTTGACATTTTTCTCGCGACTACAACATCCCTCATTTCCTGCTCTCTGCTCATTGGCTGGCCGCTCACGCGCCGCTCCGAGTGGTGTGCAGCGCTGCAGCAGCAGTGGCGGCTGCAGGGGCAGAGCAGGGGCAGCTGGGGTCTGGAGCGGCCGGAGCCCGGAGGGGCGGATCCTTCCCAGGACTTGGCGTGGGTTATAAAAGCTGCCGGCCCGCTGTGGGTTCAGTACTCCCGTCGTTCGCACTGCGCTCAGAGCTCCCGCCCAGCTCCCCGCGAGGCAGTTCGCTTTTTGGTTTCGCACTCGAGTTGGTAGAGGTCCTTCCTTGTCGTGTCCGCATCTCACAACGGTGCCCCAGACAGACATGGCGCCCACGCAAATCTTAATCGATGTGAGTCACGGGGGTGTGTCTGGGTCGCGGTCTGGGTTCGAAGCTTGTACTTCTATCCCTACGAATGTGTTTGTCCTTGTCCCACATCAACAAAACCGCTTCCTCTATGTCGACAGCCCACCCTCATGGACGGCGGCAACTACATCAAGGAGGGCAAGGACGCGGCCAAGAGCACGTGCCTCATCTTCTCGCCCAAAGCCGACGAGGTGGGCGCCCTGGCCCGCTCCCTCAAGATGTTCGAGGTAAGCGTCGGAGGAAGTCAACCCTTCCTTCTTCGTCCCCTTGTCCGACAGCGGGGCCAGGATCGCGCCACTGTATCCGTTCCTTTTTTCCCCCCAGGAGCATGGCGTGAACCTCCTGCACATCGAGTCGCGCGCCTCACTGCGTGTGCCCAACCAGTACGAGTTCATGGTGGAGTGTGCGCCGGGAGGCGACCTGGGCTCGGCCATCGAGAACCTCCGACAGCGCTCCGCCTACTTCAGCATCATCTCCCGCAACTACAAGGACAATATGGGCACGGTGCCATGGTTCCCGCGCCGCATCCGTGAGCTGGACCGTTTTGCGAACCAGATCCTCTCGTACGGCGCCGAGCTGGACGCGGACCACCCGGGCTTCACAGACGAAAAGTACCGCGCCAGGAGGAAGTACTTCGCCGACCTCGCGTACCACTACAAGCACGGCGAGCCGCTGCCGCACGTGGACTACACTGCCGAAGAGACGGAGACCTGGGGGAAAGTGTTCCGCGAGCTCACCAAGCTTTTCCCCAAAAACGCCTGCCGGCAACACAACCATGTCTTTCCCCTCCTCATCGAGAACTGCGGCTTCCGGGAGGACAACATCCCACAGCTTGAAGACATATCCAACTTCCTCAGAGGTGCGTAAGAGCTAAGCTAAGGTGGTACCAGGTGGCTGATTCACCCCGCTCACTTCTGTAGTTATGTACCGCACGTACTCGTGCGGGCGGGTTGCCTAGGGGCCGTTCACAAATTACCTCACGCATCTGACGGGGGGGAGGGGGTCTCTGCCCGCGTGACGGTCCTATCCTGAAAGCATTAGAAGGTTAGGTTAGCCGCGTGACGTGGGGGAGGGGGGGAGTCAAAACCGCCCAAAATTTGCTTGACGTCATTTGTGAACGGCCCCCTACTCGCTCGGCCCGTAAGGCGCAATGGGCAAGGGCGATAGGCAAGCCCGCCTGCACTCGTGCGTGCGGTACAGCATAAGCGGGGGTAATCAGCTACCTGGTATTGCAATTCGCAGGAGCCATTTCAGTGTACCGCGTGCAGGCCTGTGAGCGGACGGCTTACCGACCGGTGTAAGGGCTATTAGCCCCGTACCGTACGGGTAGACAAGCTGTCCGCGCATGTATGGTGCGGTATAACTAGCTAACCAACGTGCATTGCACCCCCCGCTTCCCTCCTCGAACTGACAGGTCTGTTGTCCTCTCGTGCCCACAGACAGCACGGGCTTCACCCTGCGCCCCGTGGCCGGCCTGCTCTCCTCGCGAGACTTCCTCGCGGGCCTCGCGTTCCGCGTGTTCCACTCGACGCAGTACATCCGCCACCCGTCGCGGCCGTTCTACACCCCCGAGCCCGACGTCTGCCACGAGCTGCTGGGCCACGTGCCGCTGCTCGCCGACCCCGCCTTCGCGCAGTTCTCCCAGGAGATCGGCCTCGCCTCGCTCGGCGCCCCGGACGACTACATCGAGAAACTCGCAACGGTAAGAACACCCCCTCGGGAGCGCTAGTGCACACGCTTGTCTGCGTACTTCGAAATGGTCACTGACTCTGTCCGTTCCCCCGCAGTGCTACTGGTTCACCGTGGAGTTCGGCCTCTGCAGGCAGGACGGTACCCTAAAGGCGTACGGCGCCGGCCTCCTCTCCTCGTTTGGAGAGCTGGACTACGCCCTGAGCGGCAAGCCAGAGCTCAGGCCCTTTGAACCGGCCAAGACGGCTTTGCAAAAGTACCCCATCACAGAGTACCAGCCCGTCTACTACGTGGCGGAGAGCTTTGAGGACGCCAAGGAGAAAATGATGTAAGTAAACTATACAATACACAGAACGGGTGGCTGATTGGCGCCGTCCACTTTCGCAGTCCAACTGCATGTGCACGCGGACGGGATTGCCTATCGTCTCTGATCTGACCACGGTGCCTCACGGTCCGAGCGAGTGGGTAACCCGCCTTACGCGCCAGCACGCGTCCAATGCGCGGCAGTCTAACAACGCAAGTGGACAAGGCGAAGCTATTTGTCACCTGGAAGTTGTGTGAATTAGTGCTTCTGAGCGACACGCCGCGTGCCGTGCCAGTCTCAAAACATTTGGCGGAGTTTCTCATCGCTTTGCTTTTCTTCTCGCAGCAAATACGCCCAGACTATTCCCCGACAGTTCACCGTCCGTTACAACCCATACACACAGAGCATAGAGATGCTGGACTCCAAGCCCCACGTGCTCCAGCTGGTCCATGGCATTGGTCGAGAGATCCAAATTTTGGGAGATGCTCTGAAGAAGTTGTAGTTAAGATAGTCAGTGCTATATATATATGTATAAAAAACACTGCACAAGGATATATATGTAGGTTTCTTGAAGAGTTGCTTGCGAAAGTGTACTCCGAGTACAAATTACAGGTAGTGGACGAAAGCATTGTAAGTTAACAGTCCAGGCTACCCGGTAAGAATGACATGTGTCCTAGGTTACTTCATTAGATTAAGCATAACTAAACTGTAGCATTACTTCTTTTTGTGATTGATAGCCAAAGTCAAAATCGGCTTACCCACCATGCATCACATTGAAAAAAAGAAAAACATTCAGTTACTTCATTCAACATTGTATATCGATTGTAATTTATAGGACGAATATTATGTCCAAACCTATGAATCTGTGTTCCTATTAAAATGTAGTTTTGTAAATAAAAATAATAAAGAAAAAGTAGTCCATAAAAAATAGATAATGAAACATGTCTATTTTATTGCACTACTGTTCATTTTTGGCAGAAATTGAACATTTATTGAAAACTGTAACCTGACACAATCACATAAATTGACTAGTCATAATAATTGGCAAATTTCATAAAATTCAATGCTACAAGCTTGTTCAACAAAAATTTTGGAGCACTTTAAAATTTAGCTATCATTGTAGGAAGTAAAGCTAGAAATGAATAACTGACTAGTTATTAATGATGGATAAAGTTTATGAAAAATTACTGCCAATAATGAACAAGTAGAAAAAAAACAATAACACAAAAGCACTTCTTGAATGTAACAAAAAACAAAATAAAAATTATGAATACAGATAGTCTTTAAGACCTTTATAAAATGAAATTGAACTATAATGCCTAAAAGAAAAAAGAAAAGGAGATGAAAATATTTCATCCTGTAAAAACTGATAAACTTCTGAATGGAGGAGTACACAAATAATTCACCCTAGCATCCTGGACAAAGGGGATTGTTAATTATGTATTCATAACCATGTCAATCTTTAAGAATGCATTTATACATAATCTTCCACCACTTCTACCAACAGGTAAGAAATAAAGAAAAATGAATGAAAACAAGGGAAGGTAAGGTTCTTACTTAATCATGTCTTAGATACTTTCCCCAGCAAATTTCTTTCCTTTTCATATTGGTTGGACTGACACAGAAAACACAGATGATGTAATATGTAAACTGATGTACGTCTGAACAAAACAAACACATCAACTATGTCTTCACAATATCAAAAGGTGTTACATGAACAATAAATGAAGTAAAATAGAACAGGGAAAATAAACATGAGAGAAATGCTTCTAAGATGAAATACATTTCATGAAGGAAAGATGAACAAGTCATCTCAGGAAGAATTGACAATTCAGTTATATAGGAATGCAAGGCAGTGAAAAGTGTTTCAATCAGATACTGGCAGTGCACTATTGAACTGACATTCATGCAATTCACTAGTAGGGCCAAGCCTTTGTTGTTAAAAAAAAAAAAAAGAAAAAAAAAAATAGGCAAAGAGCAAAAACTTCACTACCGGTAAGTTTCTTTGAAAGCACTCACACATGCTGTACAGTATGAACAAGTTTCCCCCCATATGACACATCCAAACAATAGATCTGTAGGTTATATGTATTTAGACATCAGCTTACAATGATGATTTTTTTTCAACAGCAGAAAGTGACGAAGAAATTCCTGATAAAAAGATAATATAGATACTTTACTCAGCACTAAATTGTAACAGCAACTAAAAGCACTATTTGCCTGTCATATAACAGGTAAATAGGCAGTCTTTGAAGATAAAACAATACATGGAGTATTGTTATGCCAGACACATCTCATAGAGAGAATTCTATCACAATAACATACTTTAAAACTGACCATTGTCAGAAAATTTGAGGGCAGTGTTGGTTAGGCAGGAGTTTCAGGGGAGGGGGAAGGGGCACATTTACAATCACCAAAACTCAATGATGCAAATACATATCTTACCAAATACTGTGCTTAAAATTTAGATTGTTTAAATTTTGAATGTTTTGCTGATAACATCCACCGGCCTCATTTACAGATTACACTGCACTTGCAAACACAAAATTAGTAGGTAGGTTTACAAGACACAAAATCAAAGTTAAAAAATAACAGTTCATATGAATGAGTGAAGAGAGAAAATTAAAATGTTGACAGAGGGAACAAAATGTGTGCTGTAACCAACATCTATGATAATCTCCCAAAGGCTGGATAAAATTGAATATTATAGGAGACAAAGAATAACTCCCACAGAATAAACTGTTTTATACCAGTTACATACATTAACAAGATCCTAATGAGCTTCAAAGAGTCTTTACATGTTCATTAAAAAGGTACTTGCGTTTATAAACTTGCTCCAAAAACCTGTCTTTTGAGTCAAATGGACTTCTATACAGCAATGCATCCAAAACTTTACTTGTTCCTCTTGTCATTTTGACTACTGAGATCAAAGTACTTGAAAAAATAAGCCTTTAGAGAACTTGATCAACATACAAGTAAAACAGTATAAGTAGGAGATTGGTTCTGAGTCCATTGACACAAGATTTTCTCAGTTAAAAAACAAATTAGGTACTACTTTCATTTCATATCAGACACAACACACATGTATTTGCCACATCCAGGTACAGAATCAAAGCTCAACAAAACATCCTTATTGAAAAACAAATTTTTAATACAAAGCAATAATAATATATAATACATAGATATTATAATTCTTTAATATAAGAATGACAAAGAGCTGTTTGACAAAGAAAGAGATATCAGAATAACACAATACTTTAGATAGCAATAGTAAGAAAGCTCAGGTTACATGACTGTCATGAACAGGTAGTTTTCTTTAAAAAAGTCTTTTGAGTCAGCAAATGTTCAATAAGTGTGATGATCATGATTTAGAAAACAATGCTTACATAAATAAAGTAAGAGAGAATAATGCAGTACGTTAGAAATTTCAAATAAGAATGATAAGATATGGCTTAACACTTTATGTCATTGCACTTCTTTTTGTGAAAACAAGTACTCAGTCTACAATTATCCCTCCTCTTCTTATCCAACTTCCTATCCAAATCAAGTATTTCAGTTGCCTCCCTTATGATAAGTGCCTATACATTTCACAAATAAGAAATGTATATGTAGCAAGGGAAGCCTATGTGTGCACCGAAATCCCCTATAACAGGAAGTATTTTAGAAAAAAAGTAGTCAGTCAAGATAACCAGAACTTCAGGTTTTACAAATGTACTAATAACTAAAACACATTGAGCTGAAATGGCTGAGATGCATATACTATACTGGACAACTCGCTTACTGTCAGATACAGTTTTTTAAGCCAATGACAAATCAGCTACAGCTCTTGCAGCTTGCCCAGCACCCTCCTCTTCCTCTGGTGGCTGCACCAGCTGTTGTGGTACAGGTGCGGGCTGAGGCTGAGGTTGCTGCTGCTGTTGAGGCTGAAGCTGAAGTGGTAGATGTGGTTGCTGAATAGGTATCTGTGGCTGCAATTGTAACTGCTGTAAAGGCAGTTGTGGCTGCGGCTGTAGCTGGGGTTGTTGTGGCAGTTGTTGCTGTTGTTGCTGTTGTTGGTTTTGTTGAAGCTGCTGCTGATTCTGGTGCATCTGCTGTTGCTGCAATGCTTGGTTTTGGTGAAGTTGTAATAGCTGTTGCAAATTAGCAGGTGGTGGATGCTGTTGATAAATATTTTGGTGTTGGAGTGGTGGTTGTTGTGCAGATTCACCTCCCTCTATGGGTGCAACTATCACAAAATTTCCAGCAGAGTCCAACTCAAGAACAGGATCTGCAGTTGCCTCAGCCAAGTTGGTAACCGACTTTGATTTCACACACTGGAAAAGGACCAGACAAAGAAAGTTTAAAATTCACAATCAATAACACTTCACAAACTCATACCAGGGGATAACGAAGAATTCAAATGGGGATTGTACCTGAAAGTCAACATGTCTACTCTTTGCTTCTTCTTTTTCCCAGGACATGTGTATGAAAGGTCGTTGAACATAGTTGTAAATAACTTCAGAGCGCCCCCCTGCTCTCTTCTTAACTTTTTCTTTGTACGTAGGGTATCCTTCAATACCTAAACGAATTTTTTTCAGACCTCTCTCTTTCATTACTTGTTTTGCCACATCTCGGTTTTCAATGTACTTGAAGAAACGGTACATGGCAGTGCTACTGACAGCTACAAGAAAAGTAGATAAAAATAATTCAGTTTGATTGATTGAATACACTGGTTGACAGGTGGGTGAAGAATAGAATATCAGTATTTACTTTGGCTGTACTCATCTCCCATTTGAGGAGGATACTCTTCATCCCAGTCGACTAAGTCATCATCCATCAAAACAACAACATGACATTCACGATCACCCCTTTGAGCAGAGTTCACCATCAGAGGAAGAATAAGATCCTCTAAGAAAACTTTGAATTGACAACGAGCACCCTCATTTGATAGTTCATGCATTAATCCACCTGGAAAAAAAAATAGTTTTAAAAACTCTAATACAGACTTTTTTTAATAAATAAAGATAGATTAAAAAATAAATGAAAATAAATTCTGGTGAAAGTTTGAACAAAATTGATTTTACTTACGTAGGTTCTGACACTTCACAGTCGATGCATCAAAAGGGACAAGTAAATAGTCACAAGCCTCTCTTAGTTCTTGAACAGAAACTGTGGGTGGACAACGAATCATTCCTCCTTTATAATATTCAAGGACGGAACGGAAAACTGAAGCTGAGATACCATCAGCAACCTCATACTCTCCTCTCTCATTGGCGTGTGCCATTTCAAGCTCAGAACTGAACATCCTGTGAAGAATAAATATGAATGAAGAACAGTAGAAAATGAAACCAATTACAACTTAAGAAATGTGAAAACCAACCTGCCCAACATAGTGTTTGGATGGGCAGTAAATAGGGCTGGATCAAGAATGAAGCGAGTGTTATCGACCACAAGGGTAATACGCTCTTCACTTTGACCTGATGTGTTAGATGTTGAGTTCCTAGTTGAAGTGGAACCTGAAAGGGAATCAAGGTGACCATGGTGACGATCTCGTCCAGGAGAGTGTCCTTGATTCATTTGGTTCTTTGCAGGTCCAAGATGTTGGGATCTAGATCTGAAAAAAATGACAAAATTTAATACAAAAACATGCAGAGAGCCAAGAAGGCAGCATGTATTTCTAAATTTACAATTAAGAATTTTTAAAGATACTCACCTATTTCTGGGTGTTGAATTCATTTGTTTGGATGATGCATGTCCATGTTGGCGACTTTCACTGCCACAAGCTGATGATGGTCTTTGAACCAAACATGGTTTGGGTTTTGATGATGATCCATAGCTGTTTAGAATTGTAAGAATATTGTCTTAGAAAAATATATGCTCAGCTCAATTGAATATCTGGAAGAATGCAAATTAAGTGTTGTTGTCTTTTCCCCTGAAGTACCATACCTCATTCGTGATTTGTAAACTCGTCTTCTCCTGTCATCTGTGTCATCTTCAGTATCGCTACTGCTTTCTCTATTATATGTGTGACGATTCTTCTGAGAAGCCATGGCTTATCCTCACCTGCACAGTAACATATGAGATACAATGAAAAGTTAAAGGGACACCTGAGGAATGGATATGGGCAGAGATGACATTTCTTCAGGAGAAGTACAGGATTACAAAGTTCGAGATAAAGATCTTAAAAATCAGATAAGAAAAAATATAAAATTGGTCAGTAAGCCAGGTAAAAAAGGAATCAACTGAGGAGAACAAAAATTGAAATTAGGGCAATGAATAAGCCTACCTCCTTGCTCCTCTCTATGTCAAGAGATGTCCTACACAACAAAGTACTTTGAGGAACAACAACCCCGAGGAGTTAAGGACAATTACAGAGATACAGCAGAGAGTTAAAAAATAACAGCAATGTCACAAAATATCAATGCAACCCCGAGAATTCTCTTTGGTCTACAAATTGCTCCGAGGTGTATGAACGGTCAGGACCCCCGTCCATTATTTTGGTATGTAACGCATACGAAACAAACAAAGGACTATCGCTTAGAGCATTCCTCCTGTCGTCCATGGTCACAATTATTTTCGTTATCAGACATTTTTGCAATGAATGCGTTTTATTTACCGTGACGTATCAAGATGAATAGCAAATTCGACGGAGAAAATGATGTTTATGTTGTTTGTAACTGTCATGCGTCAATCGTAATCGCACCGTATCATCGTCGTCGTCGTAGTTGTCCGGGAGAATCTAGGTGGCCGTGACACTGGAACAGATGTACATCGGAATCCCTTAGCAAAGCTTGACAGTGAAAAGGTCTGCATTTCGTAGTTGCTAATATTTTATCCAGGATAGCATCATTTTTTAATGGATCTGATTTATATTTCCTCTCCCGGTTCATTTGTTGTGGACGTCAAATATATTTTCGATGACTAGGAAAATGTCAAAGTCCCAACTTTGTTAAATGTGGCATAGGCAAGGCCAAATTAAATTTGTCAAACCTTTCACCTTTAAGAATTTTGTAGAATGCATTAAATCTCTATCAACATTTATCAGAACATTTACGTCTTCAATCTTCTTTGAAGAATTAAAATTTTCAAAATTAAGTTTTACCATTGTGCGTTGTGTGCGACATCAGTTGAGGTTAAGGTACACACCTTCGAGATTTTACAGTAATTTTCAAAGCCTTCATATTACTATGCAGATTTCTTTACTTATTCTAGAATTTAATTTAAAATGTGGTCTCAGAAGTTCCTTTTTACTCATTCTTGTATTTACCACGTGATTTGCTAATCGCTTGTGCTTTTCTATTTTGGAATAACTGTCATGACAAGGAACCTAATACTGTACATTTCTATCCCAGAAATGCAATTTCGATCTCAGTTTTCTTGCAATACTACCCATTCTCTCTTTTTATCTGTCTCATAATATTTTTTTTTCTCATTGCAGGCATTACTTTGCCTTAGAATGGCAACGAATGAATCCTCAGCAAAGACAAGTAATGCAGGAGACAACGAACTGAAAAATGTCTCTTCCCCGGGACTATACTACATGATACAAATTGATGATGGGAGCCGGCTAGGTTCCTGTCATGAAAAAGATTTAGTGGCGCATGCTGATAGTGTTCCTCTTGAAGACTCTTTGCAACCAGGAGACCTATTGGACAATGATCCAGAAATTGAATTAGAGGTGGAAGTCGAAGCAGGAAGTAGCACTGAACTAGATCCTGGCCCTTCAGTGTTAGATAATTTTAACAGAGACTGTGAACAAGATAATATTGAAGAGAGTGATAGTAATCTTCCTGAATCTAGCTCATCGGGTCCAGAGGATGCTGCAAGGGAAGCAGGTATTCATGCAGATCAGATAGATAGTGCAGATGGGGAAGAGTGGACTTTATGCAGGAGTACAGTGCAGCATATTAGTGAATCAGCAGATAATATACCTGAAAACAATGATGATGCTGATGGTGATGGGGACTTAGACAGCAGTAGTGAATATGATCCAGAAGAAAGCAGCGAGGCCAAGTTAAGGGTATTTGGGGACCAGGGAAGTGGATCCTCAACTCAAGAGACTGATTTAAGTCCTATTGCCAGTTGTTCCAGCCAACCATCGCCACCAAGGGTAAGTTAAGAATCTGTGTTAATAACAGTCAAATCAATGTTACTGTAGAAATTCGTAAATTAATTTTTATCTTCAACTCCTGAAATAAGCACCCATGGGTTCCTTAGTCTTGCCCTTTGTTATTGTTCTACTAAAACTGACCTGTTTGTCTACAGCATAAACGTAAGCTAGAAAGTCAAGGAGATGTTCAAAATAGGTTTCCTTGTAAGAAAATTAATCCTGAAGATAAGACTGCAATTAGTTCAAGGTATAATTGCTTCTTTTTTAATGCTGTGTATTTGCAAACCTCAAGTTTGTTTGCTAATTATTTTTTCTTTCTAGCAATTTAACAAATGATGATGATGGTTGTCCTTCATCATCTAAATCTCACAGTGTAGCTCCCACCAAAGACCCTGCTCCACCAGATATGAAAGAATGGCTTCAAAAGTTTGAGGTATTTTATAAACTGTCTTATTTCACCGAACTGTATTTTATTGCCTATTCATCAATACTATATTTAACTTTCTATATTTTTTCAAATTTAGCACTGGCGGAATTCAGAGAGGCTCATGGCTATTGACCGACTAATTGAATCGTGTGA